AAAAAAAAAAAAAAAAAAAAAAAAAAAGGATTTAAAACGAATTGAAAAATTCCTGAAAAATTTCCAGATTTTGATTAAAAATACATGTGAAAATTTGTTAAACAAATTCGATATAATTAATAAAAATCTGTAATTAAATTCTAGATTCAATTAGATGTGTTTAAATTGAAGCAAAATGAAATTTAGAGTAATAAAATTCTATTATTATAATTTATTGGTTCTAAAAAATTATTGATTATAATAATAGAATAGATAAAAATATCATTTTACTACTATATTTAAATATATCTTGAAAGATGATAACATTAAATAATTTTAATCTGATTTATTGAATTAGTTCAACGTAAAATTTAAAATAGTTCATCCATTTCGAATAAAAATATAAAAGATCACTAATTGAACATGATAAAAATCCTAATAATATAAAAAGGAAAATGGATCAAATAATTACAGTAATTAAATTTATAACGATTCAATTTGAAACAAAGATGAGAGTAATATCTAGAAAGAAAAAAACTCATCGATTTCAAATAAAAATACTTAATCAAATCCTATAAAAACGCCAATAATATTTAAAACCCAGAATCTCTTTGTACGATAGTACATCAATCAATAATACTGATAAATTGTCAAAACAGGAATTTTAGACTTTTGTTGCGCCAATAGTTTTTACAATTTTAAAATCCTAGCTTGAATGGGACAATCAATTTTACCAATTTGTAATTGGTAAAATTCATTCGTAGAATTTTATTTGTTTCGTTATAAAATTTTGTTGCTAGAAAATGTTGTGCAAGAAAATTTATTACTATTAATTTATCGAAAATAAATAATTATCAATGTTATCATATTATTTCAATATTAGAAATAATAATAGAAATTATAAAAAAAAGTTTTTCTATAATAAAAGTAAAATGTAATAAAAGTATTTTGACAAAAAATTGTCAATTACAAGATATAATATATTTTTTTTTCCATACTAATCAAGCTTGGTAATTGAAATTTTTATTAAATTCGATCAAATCAAATTAGTAATTATCTAATTGTCTTGTATAATATCCTGTAAAATTGTAATTATTTAACCTACAATCTACGATATATTAATTATCAATTGGTCAATTTAATAACTTATTTCCACGTAAAAAAAAAAAAATAAAATAAAATAAAATAAAATAAAAAGAAGAAAAAACATTCTAATTTTAAACATTTTCTTTCACTTTGAATATTAATTCTAGTGATAATCGAGCGATTTAACCAATTTAACAAATTCGGATTAGGGAAGGGTAGA